CCCAGGACAAATTCATCACATGCATTTGGTAGGGAAAGGACAGGTGATCTTTTTAACCTGTCTTTCAGAGCCTTGAAAGCTGTGTCCTGCTGTCCTCCCCAATGAAACGTCTTGCGCCCTGTGATGGCATACAAGGGGACTGCAAGTGCAGCTAAATCGGGGACAAAGGCCCTGTGGTAATTGACAAAGGCCAAGAATTTTTCAACCTCCTTGGTGCTCTGTGGTGTTAGCCATGACTTCACTGCCTGGGTATCTTTGTCTGATATTTCTATGGAATTCTCACTGACAACTCTACTCAAGAACCCTTCCTCAAGCAGGAGGTGCACTTTTTAGATTTAAGCTTCAGTCCATGGTGTCTGAACTGTTCTTGTGCCTCAGCCAGGCTCTGGAGGTGTTCATCAAAGTTTCAATTCAGGATGACAATGTCATCCAAGAATGCCAAGGTAGTCTCCCAATTCAGATCTTGGAGAATCAGGCTAATAACTCGGGAGAACGTGGAGGGGCTGCTGCAAAGACCAAAGGGCATTTTGGTGAACTCAAACAGACCATACTTGCTGATAGACAATGTCTTCTTTCAATTCTCTTCGCGTACGTTAACCTGCCAGTATCCCCCAGTTTGAAAACTTCAGGAAAACTTCAAATTCTTAGTTTTAAGCCTTAAAAAAATCACATCAAAACGTAAACCAACTACTGCTTGTGAAAAGAACTTCTCACAAAAATCACTAGTTTTGACCACTCTGGTATTATTTCTCATTTTATTTTCACAAAATACATTAGGAAAAGGCCTTAACCTTTTCACTCCGGGACGCGTTAAGACACGCCGTAAAAATTGAGATCCTCAGCCCACTTTTCAGCTATTATTCTCGGCCTATGCTCGATAATAGTTTCCCTCTGAAACGTATGTGCCTGAGTATTTTTTATGTTAATGAGGTGTGTCCTTGCATGTTACTTTGTTTTGGTTTCGTCTCTGTATTTTTTATGAAGGTCAAATAAGTAATAATAATAATTATCCGAAGACATCATTGTGTCAGTTTAATGTATCTCTCTCTAAACATTGAAAGTATATTTCATACATAGGGTTCCATGAGGAAGGATGAAAAAAGTACAGTGGAGAACAAAAAAATTGAGAGTACATGTATGTTTGCTGACTGTATGTTTAGTGTTTGGGAAAAAAGGACTTTTGTAAATTTACATATTTACTTTTTTTGACTCTGACTTTAAGTTAATTGAAGTTAACTTCAAAAATGGAACTTACATTTTTAAAATTTTTGTTCTTCCATCTCTGCAACATTTCAAGCGATGTTTGCAATCCAATAAACAAAGATTCTAGCCTAAATGTACTGTAAAAGAGGAACACTATGGGTGAGTTTGAGGTACACACCTTGAAATTCAGTAGGTGGATTTTTATGTGGATTATCATCAAAATGCTGCAGTGTTCATGTCAGGTATAACTTAGCAAGATATGGATGACCGCTGCTAAGATGGTGATACGTGCAGACACACTGATTCTCACTCTTTCAGAAAATATGAACATTGAAGTACGCCAAATCCTCCTGAAATGGGATCCATCCTGCACAATTTTACTAAGAAATTGTTCCAGCAGAGTGCAGACATTTGAGCTCCGAGGAAGCCAGAAATAGTTTGCTTTCACAGATTAACTTGAAAGCATTTGCTTTTTCTGTTTCACGCTGTCACTGATAGACATGTGGATACTTTGGTTTTTAGTTTGGTTATTTGAAATGTATGTTTTGTTTTTTCTTTCAGTTCTTTTCAGTGTTGGACATGAATGAAGGCATGCTATTTATTCATGTTGATGATGAAGGAGGTAGGTTCTTTTACAATTTCCATGCTGAATTTTCACAATCAGTGCATTCGATTATTTTCCCTGCACTTATTTATTCAAGCTGTGTTCCATACGGTCACATGACCTCTTGGGCTTACTTGGGCCCAGCTCAAGTAATTGATCTGTTAAGCTGGTTACTCGGGAAGTACTCCACAATACAATGCAAAAAAAGGCTGTGTATTAGTTCAACTATGGATCAAGTATATTAAAGTTCTGTAAGTGAAAGGCCAGAAACATATTTGTGGATGTCCATTGCTTTCAACGCTTTGAATTTATGTTGAAAATCCAATCACTGCATGACCTTTTGACCTGGTCAAGGCACCTCAATTAACTCCTTCTCCGCGAGAATTTCTTTCCGAAAGCTGACTCCAAGAATTCCAGCCTCGCTTGTCCACGAAGGCCACCTGCCAAACCGCAAATTCTCGGTTTGTGGCCAGCGTGCTCTGCACGGTGAAAAGGCTGATTGTTCAGTGGCACGCGGCTCTACTCAAGCTTCCACATTCCCGTTGCTTCTTTTCAAAGTGGGGACTATTGTGAAGCTGCTGATTATGATGCAAATTCGGTCTTTTCATTTCTGGGCTACACACAAAGACCAATTACCATTTACACAAGAGCCAGGGTCTGCCTTCTTTCACTGTGTTCGCTCGAGGGTGGGCCGAGAATAATAGCTGAAAAGCAGGCTGAGGATCTCAATTTTTACGGCGTGTCTTTATGCGTCCCGACGTGAAGGGGTTCACCAGAGATCATTTGTTTTTCTCAAAAGATCGCCATACCCCTCTAATCTTGTAATGACAACAAGGGTCAGCATGAGGGAAGTAATCGAATGCACTGAATCATTTGTTTTTTGAAAACGGACATGGAAGGCGCATTACTGACACTTCTGGTAGATTGAGCACACATTACTGTTGTGCCCTCCCATATTTCTCCGTGCATAAACAAGATAATATATGTTAAGTAGATGTAAACCTTTGCTATTGATTTCACTGGCTAGTAGTGTAGTTTGCACTGTACATGTATATTTGTAGCACTGTTATGGAGTCAAATTTGTATTAGTTGCAGACAGTAGTGCCATGCATTATAGATACACCTTAAGCTCCATGTATGTTCTACAGATTTGCTGTGATAAACAATATGTACAAACATTTTTTAAGCATTTGCACAGTTCTCTACTCTTGCCTGATGATCAAGAAATACAGAGTTGTGTACATCTCTTGGTAGACTGTAGTGGTGC